TGTGTGGGTTTTATTGTGTGTGTGTGCGTGTGTGTGTGTGTGCGTGTGTGTGTGTGTGCGTGTGTGTGTGTGCGCGTGTGTGTGTGTGTGCGTGTGTGTGCGTGTGTGTGTGTGTGTGTGCGTGTGTGTGTGTGTGCGTGTGTGTGTGTGTGCGTGTGTGTGTGTGTGTGCGTGTGTGTGTGCGTGCGTGCGCGTGTGTTTGTGTGCATGTGTGCTCACGTTCGAATAAAGTAAGACCAATCTTTAATCTCAAGACGGAAACGCTGAAACATCAAACCTGCCCAAACAGTCAAGCATGTACTATCTTTTCTCCCATGCCAGAGAAAGGTGTGTCGTGCGTGCGTGTCTTAATGAGTTGGCCAGTGTGTAGTTTGTAAAGGGGTGGACATTTTGTCGGGTTTAATTACGGTCCGAATGTTCTTGAACTTCCTCGCTTCTTCGCTCTGGCGTATAAACCGAGCATAATAAGTTCACTTATTTGCACTACATGTCCAGGGTTTCAGACAAGCGCACATATTGTGCAGAGATCGATATAGGTCCTGTATTCGTAATAGTCTTCTTGGACTGATCTTTGTCTTTTGTGTTGCTGTCACTCTTTCCGGGCGTATTTGTTCCAATCTTGCGGCTTTCCTCGCTTTCTGGGTGAATCATTATGATAGCTCAATTTATTTTGCATTGACGTTAGTATTACATGATATTCCTAGCATGGACTACGGAATAGACACACCTTGGTCTCAAGGAGTATATAACGCATTCTTCGATATGGGACAGTAAAAAAAAAGAAGGTGCATGGCGAAAAAAGACGCCTGAAAGTGGGGACTCCTGTTCCTGGGAAAAGGAGGAATCTTCACGAAATATTTATAAAAGAAACAAGAACAAAAGTCACACGCCAAATAAACAGTCGGTGGTGCCGTGTCATAGTGACATCGTGACTGCAGGAAAGAAAGCCATCACGGGCGCTCTCCTTTCACCTGGGGGTCACCACTGCGTCAGCTAGCGTACACACGGTACAGCGTACACGAGTGCGAGGGTAATTCTTCCGTATATGCACGAGTCGTCGCCCGCTCTTCTTCCCAGAGACGCCTCATTCCCGTCCAGAAAGAGCAACGTCCACTTCCATAAGCACTCAAGTGGTCTCTCGTATGCGAATAGCAATAACAACCAACGCAACAGCGTCGTATCAACACAAAGCCGCATCTACTCCTTTCAGCGGCGCCCCTTCCCACTGCCATCATCGCCGCTTGGTCTCCGCCCCCTCCATATGACCGGGTGCCATCTTCCACGTAACGATTCTCCAGAGACCGGGTTATTCTGCCCCAAGCCTGGTCACTCGGACGCTTTGTGTATGTCTGGGACCCGACGTGTACACACAGGAAGGCGAGAGAACACATTAGCTGTTGTAGGTTTCTCGCCGCTAAATAGCCCGTAGCCCTTTCCTTTCTCCCCGCCCCGGCAGTTTCGTATTGCACTATGCCAGTGATGCGTTCCCAACCCCCTCTCTCACGTACACCTTATAGACGTGTCTGTGGGTTGCTCGATTCGAACGCGGTGACGGTGGGGTCATTCCACGAAGATTTCTGTATTCCCCTCTCCCCCCCCCCTCCTCTTCCTGTTCTTTCTAAACCGCGTCGTCCGGGCCAGGCTATATGCGATGTACAAATGACCACAAAAAAAAAAACAAAAAAAAACGATGTATATGTAGAAGAAGGAGGACGTCAGGCTAAGGGAAGAAAGTAAGGCGAATGAAATGTTCGCACTGACGACTTCACTTTCAGTGATGTTAGTAACTTTCGTCGCTTGTTTTGTGTTGCCTCTCACTCGCGTAAACAACGACGTTATAACGCATACGCTTCGTTTTCTGCCCGTTCATGTTGCCTTTTCGAAATGGTTGTGCTCAGGTCAATGGCTCTCTTTGTTTCCATTGGGACGGTGAAACAGGTGTGGCCAACGGGGCCAGAAAATGGGTGGGATGCTGTTCGAGGACCCACGCACACTGCAGTTTTGTCGTCGACCTCTCCAATGTGACCTCTCCAGCTCTGACCGCCGCACTAACTTGTGCGTTAGCAAAGACGCTTGCACGGGTAAACTTTCCAGTTCGAAAACTCATTGTACAAAACTGTGAGCCGGAGCAGTGCAGCGTGCGTTTCCGTAGAGCGGGCGTGGGTGTGGACACAAGGGTGCCAGTGTATGGGACTGCTTACCTCTTGATGCCCTTTAAATCGCGAGCATTGCGCCACACTAGTGTGTGGACAAGTGAACGCAGTTTCTGCCTGGATCATACATGCCGGCTCGATTGTTTCCGTCGTAATGGCTTTACTGTGGGCCCCTCTAAGACAGGAGTGGAACGCACGGTTAACACGACTACCTCATTTTCTGATAGTTATCTCGTCGTCTTTGTTCTTTGCAGTAACTGCCCTAGGTCACGCCAGCACATAGAAGGGCTGGTAGAAGAGTCCGGAGGAGGGTGGGGAGGCACAAAGACCTACAGATTAGCACTCAGCAAGCGAATTATAGGGCACCCATCCCCGGAGTTCCTCCTTCTATTATGTTTTCATTAGCTTCCACGTGTCTTTCCTGTCGATATGGAGCGCACACATTGTGCAACGAAGGATAATGATGGTGCTCGTGTACCGACGAGCCACTGCATCGCCGAAATGGTTCTCCTTGAGGTTTCGTTTTTTAGTGGTTTAGCTGCTATGCACCACGCGGCTTCGCTTATCCGGAAAACTCGTTCTAACCACGTGTACTTGTGCGTGCGTGCGTGTGTGTGTGTTAGTGCGTACATGCGCACATACACAGCGTTCGCGCGTTGTGTACCACGCACAACGTAAGCTGCCGAATGGCGTTCTTCAAATATTGCGCGTGTGAACGTGCCAGCGGAGCTGCGGCGTGTCCGAGCTTTTCCCGCGGCGCTGACGGGACGAAGAAGAAATGGCCGGCTGGCACGCATACTGTGCGTCATCATCAGAGCGAATCTGAAGAATAAAAGGAACACGAGAGGAGAATAAAACAGCGAAAGGGTGTCCCCACGGCGCTAGCCCTAATGGTCCCAGAGAAGAAGGTTAGACGGTCGGTCGCTTCAATGCACTTACGCTTATCTCTTTTTTTTTTTTGCCTTTTTCTCTGCGGAGCTGCACCATTTGCGGTGGCGGCGCTCGACCTCAGCCGGCCTTGGGCGTCACGAAGTGTTTACCCGTCGCTCACGATACGTGTCCCCTGCCTCACAACACGACCGCCAACGGAAAAAAGGTAAAATGTCGTGAAGGGGAAATGTTGCCGTTGCCAAGGCGAGTCTTCCTACAGCCTTCCTACAGGTCACCACGAGTCTTCCCACGAGTCTACCCCACGAGTCTTCCTACAGGTCAAACAAACACCCACATGTTCACTTTCGCTAGCTTCTGGATCCTTCGCACTGTTTTCTGGGGACCGGGCCTCATAGTGAAGGCTTCGTTTTTTGAGCGTGCGCGCTAAATTCAGAGCTATTCCCAATGCCCTTAACTGTCGCGCCGCCATGCGGAATTCAGAAGCGTCCCCTCGAGAAGGGTTAGTATAGTCAGACGCTCCCTTGTTCGGCTGTGCGAGCCTCGGTGTTAACGCGTTAGCAAGAAACGAACACTAACCACTTTGCATGTCCTCTCCTTATGAAAACGGCGCACCTTCAAATGGCTACCTTACCTATTTGATTTGATTAAAGCTGTTCATTGTACGTATTCCAGCCTTCATCACTCTCTCTTTATTCATTAGAACCTCTTTAATTACATCGTACGCTGTATGAAAAAAAAAATAGTCGTTTTACTCTGTCCTGTTAGGCCCGACTTACCACGTGCGTAACTCTCGTTAGAAAGACACGTTAACTCTCTTTTGGGTTCTATAACTCTCTTATGGTAGTATAATGTTATCCAAAGGGGGTTCACGTGTCACTTGAAAGAGAGTCTCGTAGGTTGTATGAGGACCCATAAAATGAGCCAAATAACTCTCTCTCTCTCTCTTTTTCGTAGTGTGCTACTACTACCTAAGCCAGCAACAATTCTCGTTGGCTCACCTTTTCTTGGGCCCTCTGCGACAGACAGACAGACAGACGGACGGGGGGACGGACGGACAGACAGACAGACAGACAGACAGACAGACAGACAGACAGACAGACAGATGGACGGACGGACGGACAGATGGACGGACGGACGGACGGACAGACAGACAGACAGACAGACAGACAGACAGACAGAAAAACTTTTTTATCGCAAGTGTGTTTGGACCCCCCGGGATCCCTGGACCACCACGCGGTCCCGCACCACGCCTACACGGCCATGCCTCTCGCCGCGATGACATCGGCTGCCCTAGTCACCGCAGCAAGCTGCAACGCTGCGAACCGTTTAAGCACAGCCGAAGTAGATCGCTGCGTCAGCGGCATGTTGATATCGCACGAGTGGCGCTTAAGAATAGCCCCGTGTCTCGTGCAACATTGATTCTTCGAGTCGCGCTTGCAAGGACGTCGATATCGCGGTACGGTGGGCTTTCGCGTTGTACGGTTGACCGCTCTCGACCGGGACGCTTTAAGCTTTAACCACACGGAACGTATTATGGGCGTATTCAGGGCGTAGCGTTGCGTAAAGTCTGCGCACTTGTTCTACTCCGTACGGTAACCTAAACTTCGCCATGGATTGAATGCATAACGCGTTGCGTTCGTGTTGTTGGGGAGGCGACTTGTTTTTTCGACAAGGCGGATGTGTAGAGCTGGTGGAATATACCAACGTAGTATGTACTGTCATGTCTATACTGCTTTGTAAATAGCAGTTCGTAAAGCAAACATGATGATTCCATACTACAATTATATGCGATATGTGGAAGTCACGTTATGCTGGATGTAGGTAATTTTGAATGACATGGCATGGCTGTTTATTTAACGTAAATGTACCTAAATTGTTGTTGTTAATATGACTCATGCAGAAAGCCCCAGTTAGCTTTCAGAACGTGGCACTAGCAGGCGGGATCAAATAACTCACCTGATAGGACTGTGGATAAACAAAAGGCAGATAGGAGAGCCACGCCGACCAGCAGCGTAGGCCCAGCTATGAGGTGCCGTAGCCCCATGGCCTGGCCTGGGGGGTCGCTTCGTCACCTGCGCACATACAAAAAAGAATAGTGTATTAGTCATTGGTTAACACCACTTTTGAAGTCACTTCACGCTGCAAAGATACACGAAGCAGTGCAGGAAAATGTGATCGCACTTCAAGACTTCTGCAGCAGCAACTCTTTCGACTACTTGAGCAAGTTGATGCCTTTAAAAAGAAGTTGTTGCGTTAAAAATTACAATACCATTCGTCGAAACGTTGGCTCTACTGCCACCTCCCTTTTCAAGGATTTCCAAACTAATATGAATAAAACACTCTCAAGCCACTTTCAGTATAATTTTTTAATAATAAAGTTAATAAAAGATGAAAAGTCACTAATTACGGAACCGGTCAGACAGTCACCCCCTGAGGAAGGTACTGAATGGGTCCCGAAACGCGGGGCCAGTTTTAGAGGCGGAGCATCTCTTACTGGCGGATATGTCACGCGTCTTTAGTCCACACTCATACTACGCATGCGCGACTCGACTCCTCCCCTTCCTCCTGCGTGTTACTCTCTCCACTTCTCTCCTACTGCTTGCTTGCGCTCGCTACCCCATCGCACATGGGCGTCCCCTCCTCCTCTCTCCTTTCCTACGCTTCCCACTTCTGCCTCGCAACTCCTAGTACGCAGGTAACATCTGCTAACCTACGCTCGCTCCCCCCTCTCCTCTAGGCATGCCTCCCCACGGCTTCTCGAAAAGCCGACGCAGGCAGCGTCTGCTAGCGAGTTTCTTGATTGAAAAAACCGAGTGCTCACGCTGCACTACCGCGATGCTCCTCATCACTCCATAATCCCTTCGGGGAGGTGATGTAATTTTCTTCTGTTTGAAATTTTAAAACTGGCTTGAGAGTATGTGTTATTCGTACAAGTTTTGCCCAGCCAGACAAATTTCCGTCAAATATGTTTACCCTTTACAACTCATGTATGCGTTCGCGGCTCATAACTGCCACTTTTCACAGCGTGCCTCTTGAGACACCATTCGGGGTAATGCTAACCGGGTACAAGGTCACGATAAGGCCGAATTCAACCCCCCCCCCCCCACTACCTTCGCAACGTTGTTTGCTTCCTTTTGTTCATCCCAAGCACTCGGCCACCTCTAACCCGGCGCGCAAAGTGCGACACCTCCCATCAGTCGCGAATGTCGCGAATGTTCCGCGCGCTAGCCAACTTTCCTCTCACAATAAATAACCGAAAATCCGCGCGCGCGCACGCTTCGCTAAAAGCACAAGGCGATACGAAACGCTTGCTGTCCGGGCTGGTGCGGCGTGAATTATACATCGAGGATGTTTCTGCCGTTGCTCCTCCACGGCGACGCGGCGGCGTCCAAGTGTGCTCGTACCGTACGAAAGCCGGGGATGCGAGTGCGACTCTTGTGCGAAACGCTATACCCTTCCAGAACGCCTCGTGCGGTGCTCACTCGTCCGATGCAGTCACTCACGTGGCCTCGGCGGCCATGTACGCGAGCTTTCACCCCCTCCCCCTTCTTCACCTGTCACCTTCGTTTGAGCAAACATATCAGCGTGTTTCTTAAGTATTATGCTCAGCAAGGGTCCCGAAATGAAAACGGAGTTCTCAACAGCATCTATCAGCTCAAAGAATCTCATTTGTCCACCCTCAGTGACCTTACGTTAAAAAAAAAATAGAAGATTCAAAAAGTTTTCAGACCTTTCGCGTTACAGCCAATAATGTGCTTTATTATAGGGTCATTTGCCTTCCTTTTTTAAAAAAGATTTAACACGACAGTCCAATAAATTTGTCATGGCTTAAGCATAAGCTCTGGATTTGACGGTTTGCTATGGTTACCTTTACAGAGCCCGGTATTTCCCTTTTGATCAACAGGGTGTACGATATTTTTTAGTTGTCTTTTTCACATCGAGAGGTCGGTGTCCTTGATGAACAATTCTGCCAATTTGTTACCTTGTCTGTTATTTCCTTAACTTCGTAGCCTCTTCGCCTTGCACCAACCATTGATTTCTTGTAACGTCTTCATCATATGGCGTTGGAGATACAGCTCAGCTCTCTTCTCCTCACAGATTATCTACGCCAAACATTGTGGCTATCTAAAGGTATTTCAATATTTATCGGTTCCACGTGAAAAAGCCAGAAATGTGGAAATATGACGAAAGATTACACAATGATAACAATAGTCCGCAAAGGGGAGTTGAGTTATACACATCATGCAGCAACAGAAAAAAAAAATAACTGTTACCATCAAGTGCTTGTCGGAGATCCAAGCAGGAAATACATACAGGGAACATGCTTTAGGCATATTCTTTGCGTGTAACATCTATCAACATCGAAGCTTCCGCCCTTAGTCGACGCGCTCTATGAGCACAAACGCACAAACGACTTGCGCGATACGCATACAGGGCTATTTATTGACTGACTGATCGATTGATTCATTGATTTATTGATTTGAACGTGTGTAACGCGCACCGGCCTGAATATCGTTTCACTCATTGCATGGAGTAGGATAAACTCGTTACATCGCAATCCCTCATCTTACATTGGCGGCATAAAGGCAACTTATCGAGTTGAATCGAAAATCAATGTGCCTGTATCAACATCCTTGTAATTCAAACTTCCTACGTTGGCATTCGCAAAGGGTCAGTGTGCCCAGGGTCGTCGCGGCGGCACAGACACTCGCGCAAACATGCGGGCTCCTCCTTTCGCTGTGTGACCCTCCCAGGCTCCGGAGGTGAGGGTTTCACCGCGGCTATAAAGCATCGGTCGCTGAACCAGACCAGCTGGCACTGGATAGAAAGAGGCGCGCCTTGCCGACAATGTCGGTGCCGGCGGCGGCGGCTGCAACTGCTGTCCGTGCAGACCAGTGATCTGCTATACAAGCCTTGCTCGCCATGCGAGACGCAGCGAGCTGTTCCTCCTCCGCTTCCCTGTACAACAACGCCGCCGACGCCTCGCAGCCCCGCCCCATCCGGAGCAGAGACACAAGCCGAATGTTGATCAAGTGCGGAGTCTCATCCCGGGCTCTTTAGCACGCACAGGCGGACAATGTTCGGTCCGTCGAGTACTCTTTGAACTGCGTGTTCTTGCGCGTCGCCAACCCTCTTTTGATACTTCCATGGGCTTCGTGGTTTGCTAATCCGGCTGCATTACCTCTCGTTATTCTTCTCTCGACGTCCGGAATTAAACGCCACTTATGTACAGGCCATTAGCTCAAAGGGGTCCACATTCTTCCCACCACTTCCTCTCTTTCTTTGTCGCACCGTGGCCATTTTTTTTCTTTTGCCATATTCCGTTTTCGCTTTTACTCTCCCCTTCTCTCTATTTCCTCTCGTCTATAAGGCGTCCCGGTAATCGACGTCGTTAATATCCTCTCTTTATTGCTTTCCATCTCGCGGTGCGCACCAGTATTGGGCAGTTGATCGCGTTCGTTAGTACACCCCCCCCCCCCTCTTTTTTTTTATTTGCCCCCGTCTCCAGTCATCCTCTGGACATGTACTTTCCCATCACGTTGCGGAAGAGCAATCCCAAAAGTGAACGCTTCGTCTCGTTCCGCCGCCGTTTGTGCGAGTTCGCTTCTTCATCTTCTTGTCATCGAAAACCGGTACGCGTAGCTAAGTGCCAGGCGTGGAGATTCTCTCTAACGAGAGGCAATCGCACGAACGGATGGAGTCGTGCAGCATGACGCGCTCTATACTCGGGTGGTGTGCATTTAACTGGTTCTTTTGCGGCGAACGGGGGGGGGGGGGGGGGGGGGCGGCCGGATAGTGAGAGCGACCACTTTTTTGGCTCAATCTTGTTGTGGCTTCTCTGATTCGCCTCTTCGCCGTAAATGGTCGGATTAGGCGTATACGCACAAACATAGACCGCGCACACAAACGCGCGCTTCGTTCATGAATGCGCGCGTGCTCGAGTCCTCACGCATCCGGCGAGAGAGAGAGAGATAAAGATGCAAGGAAAGGCAGGGAGGTCAACCAGAAGCACATCCGGTTTGCTACCCTGTACTGGGGAAGGGATAAAGGGGAGAAAAGAGGTTGCAGAAAGATGAGAAGGTTCACACAATCACGAGCACGCGGCTCGATAGACGGGCACACTCATTTCGTGGTCTGGTATCCTTTGGAGTGAGCCAGAAGGGAAAGAGAGTCGTCGGCGAAAGAAGGTGTATTTTAGCGTAGCTTCGTAAATCGCGAACGAAAGATTTCTGCCTCTCTGAGGCAGCTCGCTCTCTCACATCGCCAACGAGTGTGGAGTCATAGTACGTGCAGCCCTCTTATTCGCGTGACTGGGCTTAAACAGCGGGGTATTTATTACGCGAGCTATACATCACTCGAAAGGGGAACCAACGCGATAGGAAAATTGTTCGGGGTCCCGAACTCTCTCGTCGAGCTGGCTGCCTGCGCTTGCTGCACGAGCTTGAGGCCCGAGTGCGACGGCGACGTCCTGATAAATGACTGTCGAGGCGCTCCTCTATCCCGCTTGCCACGGTCCTGGTATTTATAGTGGAAGTGCAGTGGCGGCAGGCGTAGTTCCAGTGGTGGACTATCACGGCGGCTCGCGCTCTGTTTTACCGCATTGCAGACCAGTCCGTGAGAGCGAGTGCGTTCCTTGGGCGACCCGAAAGCGAGAGTGCACTGCACTGCAGAGTACTATGCAACCTGCCTCGGCTTCTACTTTGTATTTTTTTCTTTCTTTTTCAACCTTCTCCGGCATCGTTTCCTGTCCGATTAGCTCTGGCGTAATGACGCCGGAATGGTAGGATGATTGGGGTCTATTGAACACCATCTAATGAAAGCCAGAGAGAGGACGTCTTTTCTGGGGCTGGCCAATTTTGTTATACAAAAGCTGTCAGACCCGCAATATGTGGACACGGACTGTATTACCGGGCACGAATGCGTTCTTTAACCCGTGAGCAGGTTTCTTCACCTCTATCTATCCACTGGTGGAACTGACGCGGTGCAGACGCGACTTGTGCAGGGGAGTGCCGGCATGTACCGAAGCCATGGGCAGTGCGTGTGCGAGGGGGCGTTCCCGGATGCATTGCTG